AAAAAAAAAAGAGGTTAGAGTGGGAGAGAGCCAAAGCATAAGAGACTGTTGAGAACTGAGAACAAACTAAGGGTTGATGGGGGGTGGGAGGGAAGAGAGGGTGGGTGATGGGTATTGAGGAGGGCACCTTTTGGGATGAGCACTGGGTGTTGTATGGAAACCAATTTGACAATAAATTTCATATATAAATTAAAAAAAAAAGAGCTTAGCCAAGTGCTTATCATGTGGCAAATACACAGTAATTAGTGGTTTAAAAACATATTAAGAAAGGAATCAAGTTTTTAATACAATGAATATTCAAAAGCAATGTCTCAATTCAGTTATGATTGGATTTTTGTATTTACTTTTTCTTGTATTTGTTGTCATCTGTATAATGGTGGCGTCTTTCTTTTCATGAAGTGATGGACTAATGCAGTCGGAAGGAACCTTCAGTGATGCTGCCCATGTTTCTGTGAAATGGAGGAAACTTTGAACTCAGCTTCAATGTGGAGGTTATGCTCCATCAAAATTGCAGGGGGAAAATAACCCTTTCTTATCAATTTGGTAAGAAAATAAGATATATTAATGACTAAAATTCTTGAGAATTTATCACATCAGACACTATGCTCTTTATATGCATTATCTCATCAAATTCTCACAATAATCTTCCGAGTTAAGAAGGGGCATTCTGCCTCCTACAATGATGCAAGCCCTGCAGTTTTGAGAAGTTCAAGAATGACAACAGTTCACAAATCCAGGAAAAGGAGGCGAGCCAGGACTTGAATGCAGAGAGTCTGACACTGGTGTCTATGTACTTATGACTTTTCTATATTGACACTCCAGAAATTAGCCCCATGGCATCACTGATATCTAAAACTTAATTTTGCCTTTTCTGTGTCCCTAATCTATCAAAACTCAGACAAGTTAAATGACAGTACAGAGCCTGAATTTCCTAATCTATAAAGAGCAAACAATCATATATATTTTTAAGGTTGTCGTAATAATTAAATAAAATAAAGAACATGAATACAAAATGCTTACAATCTAGCAGGTGTGTAGACTGTATGATAATTAAGACCATCATCTGAGAACCTGGACAGTGTCATATGCCCTTAAAAAGGGACAGAGAAAGGGAAATACAAATTGAGAATGAAGGCGAGAACATAAATGACTGCCATTGGGCATTTACCACAGCAAAGGGGCAAATAGCTATGTATCAATGTAGCTGATTGATATAATGGTCTATTTAAATATAATGTCTCTCTGTAAAATGTAATGTAATGTCTCTATATAAATATAATATTCATTTAAAAGCTGACCTTTGAGAATAAAGAAATTCTGATATTACATAACAATGATTTAAGTACTTGATACAAGGGAATTCACCAAGAAGGTAATGAAACATTTTGAGACCCACAGAGTGAAGACAGTCAAACCTGGAAAATGGGAAATAAAAAGGTGATCTGGGCTAAGATAAAGGCATTTTCATAGTCACATTTGGCCAAGTGGTTCTACCAAACCACCAAATGACAATATAAAAATTCATATCATGATTACTGTGTGGTACATATAATGCTATATAAACCAATAGGTACTCTGCTCTCTGACTAATTTTCATTGTGCTGATTCAGAACCCATTCAGGTATTATTGTAATTTGATATATAGCTATGGAGTAGCCTCCAAGACCATCAACACTGTGAATATACCTATTATCCACAACTTTCAATGAGCTTTATTATTAAAGAAACCCAAGTGTAACAAGATTTCATATCTTGAGGCTGAATTAAGTGTTTCATAATATGTGCAGCTCAAAAGTTAGGCTACAGCGAGACACGAACAAGTATGTCTAAAGAACCTTGATCTCTTTCTTTGCCAACAAAAGCAATGAATAACACAATCTGCCATGAGTCACTACTTAAAAGTAGTGGGATATTCAATATATATGTTTTGGTGCATGTCTTAGAAACACAGATAGTTGTTTTTGTCATAAATAACATATATTTATTAAAAATCAGTGATTATTTTCTCATCAAAATTTAAATAAAAAGGGTGCCTGGGTGGCTTAGTTGGTCAAGTGACCTACTCTTGATTTCGTCTCAGATCTCATGGTTTGTGGGATCAAGCCGTGCATCAGGCTCTGCTCTGACAGCACGAAGCCTGCTTGGGATTCTCTCTCTCCCTCTCTCTCTCTGCCCCTCCCCTGCTCTCTCTCTCTCTCTCTCAAAATAAAGAAATGAATATATATTTTTTTAAATTTTAAATTAAATCTATGAGTAACATATTTGAAACATTAATAACTTAAGATCTTGAGGTTATAGAAAAAAGTAAACTTTAATATGTTTTTATGAATTACAATTAAGTTTCAGAAAAATGGGGTAGAGAGCCAGATTCCCCTTAGAAGAATAAAGGATATGTTACATAAAGAAAGATCGAAAGAACCATGAATCTCTACGTATTGTGATACATAACTTACAGAATATATAGAGACTTAAGTGAAGAACAAATTTGTTCACTTATAGGAGTGAAATGAGTAATCAGATTAGGGGTGATTTTGAAACCAAAAAAAAAAAAAAAAGAATTTAACATTTAGCAGGTTCTTCCCTCAGAGTGAAAATGTAGGAGAATCAAATACACATCTGTTACAGAGAACATCTTTCTTTATTAGCATGCACATCATTAATTAGGGAGATACTAACTTCAAGATAAAAGTTAATTAACTGTGAGATCAATACCTAATGCTGATTTCACTTTTTACATCTCTCTAACAGCACCAAACCAATTAAAAGCAGTTATGTTTTTGAGTAAAACTTATCAGACCAAAACCTCAGAGTGAATAGTTTCTGAGGCTCTCATCAAGATGGAAAAGGTGGTTGAGTTAGTAAAATTTGGGTGTTCACTAGTAGCTAAGCAAAGCTAAGAAGACTATATGAAAAGGCAAGTTATTTGAGTGTATAAATATTATATCCTTTAAAAATTTGTCACAAATAAAATCATTGAGTACTTCATAATGTTGTATATAGATAGACTTTCAGTCAAGTTTATTCTGTTCATATCATGGTCAGGATTCTTTTTTCAGGAGCATATAGATGACATCGTCCTCTCATTGAGGTGAAGAATTCTCACATTTAAAGTGAGTGCTGTAAAGTTGTTGAGGAGATTTCTTATTTTCTAGTGAAGAAAGACTTTGGTCCAATCTTGGGTCTGTATCAGAAGGAGTTGGAGTATCTTATACAATGCTTTTTAATCTACTTGGCAGGAATTTCAGTTATGGGATCTTTATTCCAAAGACAGTGGCATCAGGGAAGTACCTGTTTATTGGCATCATCCAATACCCATGTCCTAAGTGTCTATTAAAGAATATTGATGTTAGAGGCCAAACATTAACCATCCTGAAACCTAGCATGAACCCGAAGTGTAAAATGTACTTAAAATCATTCACTTGCCTTATTTCTCTCCCTCTGAACCAAGGACTTGGCATTCTTCCCCCAAAGCACAGTATCTGTGTTTTCATAATGACTTTTCTTTGTTCCGAGATAATTGCTTTAGAAACGCTGTTACATTTTGCATTTTTATGGTCCTCTTGATATAGACCTGAGTTAATACATGGAAGGCACTTAGAAGACTGTCTATCACATGGTAAGCACTTAATACATGTATACTATATAATATATATATAAGAATATTATTATTATTATTATGTTTTAAACTTTTCATTGATTAGTTCATAACAACCTATGTAAGATGGGGTATGTAACATTGGATACATGGGGAGCTGGGCACTGGACATGCAACAGAATTTAAACATATAGGTATCTGAGAAGCTGGTGACTGCAGCAAAGTTTGAATCTTCCAGGATCTTTCCATAAAAATAGAACATAAAGAGAGAAAAATCAAAGACCACCAGACACTATTTAAAACCAAACTAGTTGGCAAAAGCATCTGGAGTCACAAAAACATAAGGACTGGGATAATTATTAAACATTAACTATATATTTACTTGTAGAACTAAGATATAAGTGCTTTAGTAAAGAGAGCAGTATGTGAAGGTTCTATTCTCTAACAAGCTCACATGAATTGGGCGGAATAAGAGATGTTCACAAAAGGCAGAATGAGTTTGCTAATTGCGTTGTAAATGTATTCTAGTTATTAAACAAAAAAATGATAACTTTAATCTGTTTTCACACACGTGTTTGAAATGACAGATATAGGAAATGAGTACGATTGGCTGATAACCTCACAAAGAGTCAAACCAACATGATGAGCCCTTTGATGATGAACACGATGCGTCACCTTGAAGAGGCATACTGAGATAGGTGAGGTCGTGTGTGCTCTTTCTTCAAAAGGTTGTGCAGCACCTTTAGTCATTAGTCCAATAAATAATCATCAAGCCCCAATACCATACTAGGCACAATTATGGGGACTGGATACAATGGCTTGAACAAAACAAAAGAAACGAGCAATAAGAAACCAACCTGTCCCTATGCCCATGGAACGTACAGTAAGATAGAAAATGTTGTCACTAATGAAATAATCTTGCAAATAGATGTCTTATCACTCTGTGATGAGTGGAGAGGTGTATGGTGCTATGAGAATAAATAATAGGAGAACTACACCTAGTCTAGGGGAAAAAGAATAGATTGTCTGGAAAGAAGGTGATATTTGAACTAAAATATGAATGCTGAATCGCTTTAAGGAGGCATTAGCAGGACGGGGCAGGGAGGAGGCAGCAGTAGGGGGCAGGAGAGTATTTCAGAGCAGCAGAGAGAGCCTTTGAAGAGGTTCTGAGTTACAAGGGAGAATGGGACACCAGTATGTGATGGCCTCAGAGTAAAGAGGGTGGGAAAAGAGAAGAGCCAGAACAGGGAAGGGTAACTATGTAGTTTATTGTCAAACTGGATCGCGTTTGAGATTAAAAGGGAAGCACTACCAATGATTACACTGAAACAACAGGTGGCCACTGGGTCCCTGAGTCACCCTAATTATAGGCTGTGATAAGAAGAGGTCTGTATGCAGAGAGTGATGGAATTGTTGGAAGGATTTTAAGCAGAGGTTTACATTTTGGCCACTGCAGTGTGGAGAGTGGGTTATAATGAGGCGGGTGTGCATGTGGAGAGACTACAAATTAGCATGCTTGTTTCCCAGAGATCAACTGAAAGGCAGTTTCTGTTGCTGTTATTTTTTGTTTGTTATATTGTTATATTCCCTCCTGTTGCATGTAGAGAACCTGGCCCAAAATCACACTAGGAGTTTCCTTTTCTTTCAATGATTGGAGTTGAGTTGAGAAATGCTACTTGCCATGCCCATAACTGAAGTATCTAGAGATCAAGATAGGACTGACAAAAGGTGATTATATTTAGAATTACTATAGCATAATCTGTTTTCTCTCTGTCTACATACATACACAAACACACACATATACACAGAGACATATAAATGCCTGCATATACATGTCTCTCTCTCTTTCACACACGCAAACACACACACACACACACACACACACACACACATGCACACACACACAAATTCATTCATTGTATATTTAACAAACTACTAAAAAGCAGTTTTTAGTAGTAAAGATCCTATTCAGTGAGTTAACCGTCCCATGGAGAGGGGTCTTCCACTCTGTAAGTATAACCTTCAAAATACTGGTGGGTTTGGACTTTTTCTCAAGAAGAAATTTTCACTAAGTTTAAATAGTAAAGCATTAATTAAAGCATAAATGGAAGTAAGAAAAAAATTTTAAAAGGTAAACAATGTAAGAATACCAAATGATGAATTTTTTAAAACCTATCTCAAATCCATCTGTATATAAAATTTTGTATCCTGCTTCCTTTCAACTTAACATTATATCATAATTAAGACTATCACCTTTCGCAAATAAAACATATAGGATGCTCTATTAAGTTTGAATTTCAGATGGACTGAATTTTTGTGTGTGTGTAAGTATGTCTAAAATATTGCAAGGGAAATAGTTTTACTGAAAAAATTGTTGCTTATCTGGAATTCAAATTTAACTGGATGCTCCATGTATTATCTGCCAATGTTAATTATAAACATTTTCCTTTTAAGTGTAATCTTCACAGACTATTATAAATAAATTATGCCAAACACTTTAATGCAGGAAAAATGTCTTAGTTTTAAAGAGCATGTCTTTGAACAGATTCACAGAAGTGAACTCCCCAGGTTGGATTAAATATATGCCCAACCCCAAATTTATTTTATAGAAGTATTATGGGCTCTAGTTTCTTTTCCTTATTTATGTAGTTATTTATTTAGGTAGGTAGGTAATTAGTTAGTGCAAATGTTGAATTTGTATCATTATTGCTGAGATTCCAATCGTTTTTTTTTTGTTTTTTTTTGTGTTTTTGTTTTTTTTTTTTTTGCATCAGTAGTTCAGACTCTCCTTAGAGAATTTATCCTTGGATGGCAGTCCAGGTTTTTCTAAAGCCTTACTGGAAGTCTTAGATGTTTCAGTGAAGGAGATTTCTGGACAGGTTAGATACACATTTCTCTGGATTCCCTATATTCTACTACTGTGCTCAGCTTATCAGCAAACAATCAGTGATATATATTATCCCAGCCTCCCTTTCCTTCTTTGTCTTTCCCTTTATCGTCCTTCAAGTTTTGCCCTTATATTTTGCCTTTTGCATTTACCAAGTACCTGTACGATGAATGCCTATTCAGTCAGAGTCTTTGGGACTTCCCAATCCTGATTTTTGTACTCTGGGCTGGGTGACCTTAGTCAGACTACTTGCATTCTCTGAACTTTGATTTCTTCATCTAGGATAATTATATGGCAGGATATCTGTCATGATAAAATGAGAACGGTTCGGGGAAGACACCTGATGTGTCAGATACAGGTAAGTGCTCAATATATTCCTAAAAATGCTAATGTCAACATGGGGACTAACTGACCTGGGCAAAGCTCTCTGAGAGGCAACAGATGTTTATGTGTAACAAGGTCCATGTTACTGTTAACAGCTAAATCTTATTTTCTCCATTTCACTGTATTTCTCCAGAGGGTGCATTTTCTTAAATGCCTGCCGTGACTTCCATAGTATCAGGGAAGGGCTGCTTTGGTTTCTGATGCTACAGTTCTCTGCCTTGCTCCTGCTCCCAATTCATATTGAAGCCATTCCAGAAGGACCATGGTGCCGAGACGTGTTTTATGAGCTTCTGGCTTTGAGGCTGACCGAATAACTTGCTGACAGTACCTGAGCAGAAAACAACTCCCTCACTAGAGAACAGTTAAACACTTCCCTGGTCACAGCAGTGGCTCCGGATTTTAGTGTCTAATCGCTTTTACACCACTGTCCGATAGCCTCATTCCCATTGACCCACTCACACTTCTATTCATTAATTATTAATCAATACATATTAAGTACCTCCCGGAGTCTAATGCCAAGTGGCTTTAATGAATCTTTCGATCAGAAAACGAGATCTACTGTTACTTAATATGCTTCCTGCAGCCACAGAAATAAATGAGGCATTGCATGGTGGCAGTTCACTGATACCTGGAACATCTATTTGTCAGCTCTTTTAAATGTATTTTGGTTCATGGTGACAGTACCTATTTTCAAAGCATTTTTAATCAGTGGTCTAGGTATAGATGCCAAGTAAACAAATGCAGTAAATCAAATATTCCTTCCAAATTTACAACTCCCATCTCAGGCTCAGTTTGTTAGTGTCATCAAATGCTGTTCAACCTCAGGCACCACTCTCTCTGGAGCCTTCTTGCCTGGATTCCTGGTGTAACTTGCTCCCATCTCCTCAGACTTCTGGTTAATTCACTGCTATTCAAAGGCTTTATCACTGGGTGGCACCCTCCACCTTATTTGGATTTCCTTTCCTCGCCAGTGTAATCGCCTGCTGGTCTAAAGCCAGGGTCTGGCCCCAGATGTCCATGTTTGGAATCCAGGCTTTGAAATTTATTTGGCTCCGTGATCATGGACAACTTAGGTAATGTCTCATCATCAAAATGAGGATAACTGTAGTAACTACCTAGTAGGATTCTCGTGAGAATTTAAAAAGTTAAAGTACTTAGAAGAGGGCCTGGCAAATTATATCCAGTAAAGTTTGTTATTTTTATTATCAAATTCAGGATAGTACAGTAGCACCTGGGAATACAAACATGAATAAGCCACAGAATTTAAGAAACAGACAAAAACCCGATAACACAGATGAGAAAAACTCATGACGGCAATGATAACAGAGAACTAAGCTGAATGTTGGCTGCCGACTTGTGGTTGTCGTCCAGTAATAAATAATTTTCAATCATTTATTGAAAACCTGTAGGGGTGCCTGGGTGGTTCACTTGGTTAAGTATCTGGCTCTTGATTTTGACTCAGGTCATGATCTCACGGTCGTGAGATAAAGCCCCACGTTGGGCTCATGCTGGGCATGGAGGCTGCTTGGGATTCTCTCTCTCCCTCTCTCTCTCTGCCCCTACACTGCTTGCCCTCTGTCTCTCTCAAAACAAATAAATAAACATTTAACAAAAAAAGAAAGCCTAAAAATATAGGTACCTGAGTTAGTTCCTTAAAAATATTACCTCATGTGTCCTTTCCAAGAGCTGCGTAAAGTAAATGTTTATGCCCATTTTCCAGATAAGGAAACTGAGCCTAATAGAAGTTAGATCATTTGCATAAGGTCATCCATCCTGTAAATGGAAGATCCCAGATTTAAATCCAGCGTCGTTTTAATCTGAAACTCTTTCTACTGTGTGCCTTTTGCTCTGCCATCTTTTTATTTTCTTTTTCTTTAAAAAAAAATTTTTTTTAACGTTTATTACTTATTTTTGAGAGAGAGAGACAGAATGTGAGCGGGGGAGGGACAGGGAGAGAGAGGGAGACAGAATCCAAAGCAGGCTTCAGGCTCCGAGCTGTCAGCAAAGAACACAATACAGGGCTCAAACCCAGGAACCTTGAGATCACGATCTGAGCGGAAGTCTGACACTTAACTGGCTGAGCCACCCAGGCGCCCATCTCTCCTTATATTCTATCTCAGCTGTTACTGGTTAAAATTTGAACACCTACTTCTCAATATGTTCCTATATTCTGGAAGAGCTTGGGTTGCCTGTGACACCTAATGAGAAAATCATAAACATGTCTGCAGATCGAGCCCCTTCTTCTTTTCTGAGGTGAATGCTGAGCCCACAGAGCTGCCAGTCCCTCACGGACCTCCTTACATTTTCTGTGACAGTCCCTTCGTGTCTGACAGGTCTATCAGCATTTCCGCGGCTGCTTGCGCTGATAAAGCTTCCCGAACACACACACCAGACAGACATCGCTTGGTGACCTGTTCACGAGGGCACTCGGAGAAGGAGGTCTAGGCTGGAGGGACGGTGTCCCGTAGAGGGCTCCACATGGCACAGCAACTGCAAGGTTCAAACAGGGCAGGGGAGATGTGGGGGCAAACATTTTCTCTTGAAATGTCCGGAGGAAGTTACTAATCCCAAGAATTTGGTACTGAAAGAAGTGAATTTAAATTACAACGGAAATATTAGGTAATAAAGCTGTTTTTGCTCTTGTTCCGTTTCACACAAGATGTAGACCTGATGACATGAAACGAAGGAGCCCGAAGAATTTCAAAATTATTCCCTTTAAGGATTACGAGCATTTAGGGGTGCCTGGGTGGCTCGGTCGGTTAAACATCTGACCCCTGATCTGGGTGCAGGCCACGACTGAGCCCTGTGTCTGCTTCTGCAGAGCCTGCTTGGGATTCTCTCCCCATCTCTCTCACTCTCTTTCTGCCCCTCCCTTGCTTGCATGTGCATGTGCGCGCTCTCTCTCTCTCTCTTTCTCAAAATTAAAAACTTAAAAAAAAAAGAATTAGAAGCATTTATGCATCATCACTTTTCAATATCTTTCTTAATGTGGAATATTAGCCAAATATTTTCTTACTGTTTTTCAGGATGTATATGAGGACTGAAGAAGCTTTGAAATACAAAAGTGGTGGGTCGCCTGGGTGGCTCAGTCAGTTACGCATCTGACTCTTGATTTTGGCTCAGGTCCAGATCTCATGGTTTGTGAGATCAAGCCCCACGTCCAGCTCTGTGCTGAGCGTGGAGCCTGCCTGGGATTCTCTGTGTCCCTCCCTCTGCCCCTCCCCCGCATGCTCACATGCTCTCTCTCTCTCTCTCTCTCTCCCTCTTTCTCAAAATAAATAAGTAAACTTAAAAAAATTAAAACCAACTATAAGATACAAAGGTGGTGGATCTACATGGTGTGATTGCAAGTGTCTAAGAAGCCCTCCCCTCAAGTTCACGGTAACTTTAAACACACACACACCCTCATATCCCACACCCTGCAAAAACAGACATACAGACATGCACACACGTCCCTAACATACACAGACACAGACACACGCATATATGGACATGCCACACCCTCATACTCTTCAAACACAAACCCAGACACTTGACCCTCCCACCAATGAGAGGAGGGGCAGGCAGGGGCAAGAGGCCTGGAAGGGCAAGGATAACATTTGCTGAAAACTGAAATTATGTTGTAGGCATTTCAGTACAAACTTGATGTTTTTGACTTTTGTGCATTTAAATTCAGAACGACCTGAAATAGCTCACATTTGAAACTGCTATGTGTCGAATATTCTTTAGTGTGAATGTGCTTCTGATTATTTCCGGAGAGCAGGTTTTGATAGACAAACTGCACATACTGAGGGCCTAAGGCTAAAGGCAAAATGAGAACAGGGCAAAGAGAGAGGTTGCTGGGGTGTCTGAAACAAAGACAGCTAACACAGCGATTTGTCCTGGGGTTGGTGCTGAGTGAAAACCTGTAGACGCCACTGAGAGCTGTCCACAGGAATACACCAAACGTTATCCAGAAAATACTGTAGCTCAAGAGCATTTTTCTACTTACATCAATGTGATGCTCGAAAGGTCACTTTGGTCTATATAAAACTAGGACTTATTGGCTACCATGAAGTTAAATGAGACATTCTAGATCCCAAGTCTAGGCAATCATAAATCCCAAATTCTAAATTCTTCAATTTAATCCAAGGCTTAATATTTTTCATCTTTAAAAATACTACATGTGAATTAGTTTGTCTTTGAACTTGTATAGTTTAGTAAATTTTTTAATATTTGGGTAGGGACAGTTGGTGAAGAAATGCTAAAAAGTTTTGAGAAATTAAAAACAAAAGGTTATGATTAATGTAGACAGATGACCTGTTACAAACTTTAGCGTGGATTAGAAGGGTGCATTATCACAGTGCCTTACGCATGGATGGCTCAATCTGGATATGTATGAAGATTTTAATTAACAAGATCATCATTAAGGAATAATATCTCCACTACTTCCTTTCTCTGGTTATAGATGTTATGACCTGAGCTTTCGGATGCCATTCTCCCTGGTATTTTAAATGTTGTTCCTAAGAAACAGTGGAAGGGAAAATATTTCTTTGACCACTCATTAGATTGAAATTAGTTTCTCTTATCCATCTGATAAAGCCAACATCCGTTAATCTAGAGAGCATTCTTAGAAGGGCTATTTGTTCATTCATATTTTTGGCTGTAGAAATGACTTAAAACAGGACAGATGGAGACCAAGTTTGGTCACAAAGTGCTTAACATTGGGCTATTATGTCTGCATTCATTGTGGACCATCGTGAGGTAGTTTTGAGTTTATGTTCATTAACTTTCACTACAGCAGAAGAAAAGAAAGAAACTAATATACCAACTCTGAGATCTATAAAATTATGGGCTTTTTGTAAGGTTGAGAACATTCTTATCTAATATGCATTCAAAAAATGCTTAGTGAAAATCAGTAAAGGAAAACATAGTGATGAGTAACTGTATACTACATTTGGCCAAAGTTTTTTTTTTTTTTTCTTTTTCTTCCTAAATGTTTCATATCAGACTCTGCCGTTAGTTTTTATGATTGTGGAATTACTCTCTTTTCACACCCCAATTTTCTGGCTAATTCATATTACTCATCTGACTTTACTTACAGTATATGTGGATATCAACTCAAGAGAAAAATATTAAGAAGGGGCATCTATCATAAAATGGCAACTTGTTAATGATTCCTAAATTAATGGATTGATTGATTGATTGATTTCATTTATTCAGTAGGCAAATATTTATTGAAGACTTACTCTGGGCCAGTTTCTATGATTGGAGATGATGCTAAAAACAAGACAGACAAAAATTTTCTCCTCAGTGCATCTTATACTGTAGCAGCAGAGACAGATTAGTAACTCCCGAATTTCCACTAAAATACCATGGAACCAGAGAAGAAGAACAATGAAAACTCATAGTGTAGAACATTAAGACTTTAGGAAAATCAGCTTTGGAAGAAATTTTATTAAGTTTAAGGTTGATACAAAAAGAGAAAAAAGATTGTTCATTTCTATGCATCACTTCAGGAAATAGCAAGCTTGACTGCCTACATTAAGACAGTTAAAACATTTCCTGCCTCTCCCATGCTATTTGTCCTTTGGCCCAAAGACCCCATGATCTACCAACCAGTGATCTGTGCAGACAACTTCTCACTGCTTCAGTGACGTTTCCACAAAAGTCAACTTCTGTTCAGTGACTGCCACTATTCTGCAGTAATTTGTCATGCAGAATAAAGGTGCTAAAAGTATTTTTTCAGTAACTTGGGGAACTGTGAGTAAAAAACAAAATTAGCACAAAACTACATGTTAACTGTGTATGTGACAAAAACAAAACCAAGAATCTAAATATTCCAATCCTTTCTCCTCCCCTACCTTCTAATGAGGAAGAATCCTCATTAGGATTCTTCAATCCTTCTTTGTGCGTGTTGGTTTGGAACATGATTGATGATGAAAACTTAGAAAAGACCATAGTGTTTGATTGTAGGTTAATATGCTGCAAGGAAGAAAAAGTAGCTTAAATGATGTTTCTCTTTCATGTCTCACTTCCAAGGTAAGGGCCCTGGAGCCGATCGGCTGCCTTGCCGTATTCAACTTAAGACTTCTGTCCCAGACTCTCCAGTGACCGGTATGATCCACACCATCTCTCAGATCTCAGGGAAAAATGGGTAAGCCCAGAATAGATTTTAGAGGTTTAACCAGGAAGTGGCATCACTTCAGCTTATACCAGCTTGGTTAGAACTTTGTCACATGTCCACACAAAGCTGCAAGGGAATCTAGAAGTGAGAACTCTGTCGGTGTGGTTATATACCCAGCTAAAACTCAAGAGTTCCATTTCTGAAGAAGGAAAGGATGTATATCAGGGAACAACTAGCAGTCTGGACCTTAACCCACCCCTATGACTACCTTAATAGCCATCTGTTTTCCTTTTACCACACCTAGAACCCACACAATCTCCTCCCTGGATAACAGTTCAAGCCTTATCCACTTACTACTTCTAAAATGCCAACCTCTTTGTTGGTTCTTTCCACTGAGTCAGTACATGGTTCTTGGTGTTTTGGTGACCTACAAACCAATAGATAAATTATCTTCTCCTTCTCTCTGCACATTAAACAATAATGGAGAAAGAACAAGATAACTTCAATTAAAAATCTCACTCAGAAAAACGAATAAAGAGAACACAGAGCAGGCACTTGCCCATAGCAATAATCAAATCCTGCTGAGCAAGTATTAGCATTGCAAAATGTGCTTGGTTAGTTCTTGTTCTGGTCTCCAGAGAAACTCCTTTGCCCATTTACTTCTCTGGTCCCTTTGTCCATTTTCCTTTATGGCCACGTTTGAAGCATGCATTGGAAAATGTGCCCTCCTTGAGGGCTGCACAGTTTGCACAGTTTGGGGGCACAGGAGTTGCTCTAGGAGTCAATTACAGACATTTTAAACCAGGTTGTGCTTTCCCTGGCAATAAAAAGCCCTCCACAACTTGGTAGGTGTATTCAATTTGCTTTCCCGTCAGTTCCATGTGAAAGGAGCCATCAGTGCAAATTGTGTCTAGATAGAGGTTTTTTTTTTTTCTCTTTAGTGTTAATTTTTAATTACACTAATTACAGTGTTAATGCTGTAATTGTCATTAGGCAATTTATAGTTGGGTGTTGTTCGACCTGTGATGTTACTGAATTGTATTTTTATTCTGTTTTAAAAGTGGGTTTATTGTTGTAATAGCCTTGTAGAACAGGATGCTTGTCCAGGCGTCTCCTTTTTTTTTTTTTTTTTCTTTCTTCCAGCCTCATTGAGATATAATTGACAAAAAGCATCGAGTAGGTTTAAGCTGTATTTCTGTTGATTTGACACACTTATATATTGCAAAATGATTCCATAGTATTAGTTAACACTCCCTCATTCCATGTTTACCATTTCTATTTCTGATCGACTCTACTAGTGACTTTCAAGTATACAACACTGTCCCGTTAATTATCATCACCAAACCGAATACTAGGTCTCCAGAGCTTCTTCATTTTATAATTGGAGGTTTGTACCCTTTGGCCAATATTTCCCCATTTCTCCCTAGATACAGTTCTGAAACCTAAAGTCTGTCATTTATTGGTCCTGTGCTCAGTTTTACCTTCTCTCCAGCAACTTAGTATAAGGTTTCCTTTTATCCATATAAAGAACTATTTGCTTTGTTGGCATACAGTCTGCTTTCCACCTTATCACAACCAACTTCCAGGGCTCAACAATCCGTGTCCTGATCCACTGCTAAGCCAGTACCGTCTACTCTAGGGTGTGGAAGAGCGGCACACCGCTTCCGGTACAGATGTCTGTCTTGGATTGAACATAGTCTAAAGTTTAATAACATAGGGATCTTAGATCTAGCAGCTTAAGACAGACTTTTTTCCCCCTTCTTAAATAAATAGTTCGGAAGGAGGCAATTCAGAGCTTTTGGAGCAGTTTTTCCTTCTTTTACATGAAGCTTCCATTTTGAGGATCAAGGAACCAGTTCTTGCTGACACCTAGACAGAGGGAAGAGGGGAAAAGGACAGGGGAGGATGCTCATTCCTTTTCAGAAGTGTGACCAAGAAGAAGCATATCTGCTCCCATCTCATTGGCTATAATTGAGCCACATGACCCCACGGAGCTACAAAGAACATGCAAAATGAAGTCCTTAGGCTTAGTCCACTAATGTGGACTAATGAAGTCCTTAGTCCTTAGCCACTGATGTGGCTATTAGCTAGCAGGTGGAAATTCTGTTGCTAAAGAAAGTGGAGGTAAAGCTTGGTGGACATCTGAACCACAGCCAGACTTCATAAAGAACAATCCTGAGTTACCATGAATAGAAATTCACAAAAATATTATTAGTTTTTGTCTCTGGTGGGAGAATCACATATGATTTTCATTATATTCTCTATGATTTATTTAGACTTTATCCACTTATTTATTTTAGCTCTCTGCTTTTTAGTTTTTTAAATATTTTTTAAAATTATTTTTTAACATTTATTCACTTTTGAGAAAGACAGAGCATGAGCAGGGGAGGGGCAGAGAGAGAGGGAGACACAGAATTTAAAGCAGGCTCCAAGCAGGGCTTGAACCCACAGACCTCGAGATCATGACCTGAGCCAAAGTCGGATGCTCAACCAACTGAGCCACCCAGGTGCCCTGGTAAATATTTCTAATGTATTTATTAATTTTGAAAGAGAAAGAGACAGAGCAAAGTGGGAGGGGTAGAGAGAGAGGGAGACACAGAATCCAAAGGAGGCCTCAGGCTCTGAGCTGTCAGCATAGAGCCTGATGTGGGGCTCGAACTCCTGAACAGTGAGATCATGGCCTCAGCCAAAGTCGACCTTTTAACAGACTGAGCTACTCAGGCGCCCCTAGCTCTCTACTTTTTAGATGTTTTACAATGATCATTCTGCACTTGAATAATCCACAATTATTTTAAAAATTCAGTGAATGAAATCCCACAATGAGGCATTGTAAGAGATGCTATAATACAAGTTGTCTGTAGATTTAGTGCATGAGATAAGCCTCCAAAGGACTCTGAAAGAGACACCCTCGCAGAGAAGAGAGAGAGAGAAAGATCTCGTTGGCCAATGATGAAATTACTTTCTTTCTCTTGAAAAATGGTCCAGATTTTAAAGAGCCAGGCTGAGAGAGAAGGAGAAAAAGAAGAAGAGAAAGAATCAGCAACATAAAAAATTAAAAGTTTAAGCTTAGGGATCTGGAGACAGGAGTTTTTCTTGCTTCACATATCAATAATTTAAATAATATTATTACATGTTATCACTGTTATTATAGTAGAAATATTTTGATTGTTTCCAGAAGTCATGATAAGAGAGGGTGATTCCATCTCAGTCATGCCCTATGAACATAATTACAACAGGAAATTGTGTAACATAATAATGGCATAAGCCCTTGATTTGAAATTGCCAAAAAGTGTGTTGTTAAATTAATGACAACAAAACTCAATGAATCTACAGGAAAATATGTTTTGGATTTAAACACTTGAAAAATTCCACTTATATTTATACTATGAGAGTATTATTAAAACAAACATTCAGATGAGGCTAAGGGATCTTATAAAACAGTACTTTGGCATTCTTAGAGGTTTATCTCTTTCTACAGATCTCTTTGAGCAATATTAATGCTCTAAAGAAAAACAAATAGTGATTTAAAAAAGGAACATTTTGATCCTTGAAAAACTGTGACTAAATTTCCTTTTTTGGTAACTAACAAGGAGAATTTACTCTTACTATGCTAAACAACTAGAGTGAAATATAATTTGGATGTCTGGCAGGAGTTATGGCATAAGATGCTGGGAAGAACTGAATGGTCAAGCTGTTATGTCGTTCAGGTGGTCGGGAAGCCCATTCCATATCAGGAACAGAGATGTAGAGACACAACCTCTATTATGCTGCCTTTAATAAGCCTGAGATCTTATTACCCTCAGTGTTTTTGTCTTGTTTTTTTTTTTTTTTTCAAAATTCATAATTGCCTTACCTTGGGCCAGGCATCTGCTCTTGTATCAGTCAGTTATGGCTGGAGGGACAGGACTCCGGGTCCTTGTGTATGAGGGCTTCCCCAAGAAGGGGGATCATTGAAAGTGAAACACTCACTGGTGTGTTAGCTGTACCATAAAATGGAAAGGAGGCTAATATTACCAATTCTGTGAGTTAAATTTCCTTTCAGCAGGATTTGCAAGATAATTAGTAATGACTGCTAAATACTATAAATGAAAGCATATCGATTTCTAGCAAATCATTACCAGAACTTTTTTCTCTGCTGTATTTCTTGTATTTTATGTACCATATAAGAGAGAAGTGAAGAGGCCTCATCTGATTGATTTAATTTCTTTGTTATATTGTTCTGATGGTTAGGAAAGATGGACAGTAAGGAAAGGAGGATATTTATAAATTTAGGTATTTTCATATTTGAGCAAGGGAGGATTATTTTAATGAACAGAAAATAGTAAAAATAGACATTTTATTACAATTGATTCCTTGCCTATTTCTTAAGTTAGAATGTGAAAATTCTTGTCTGGTACCTGTATAAGCCAGTTATAGCATTTAGAATGTCACTTAGGAAATGGAAAATTTCCATTTATATGAAATCTTTATATCCTGCTGAAGAAACTTGAAAATGTCAATTTCATGCAGTACATCTGGGGAAAATCTGTCTAGGGCATAACACCTTAACTGTCACATAGCAATACCTTATCTGTGTAAATAGTAACAAAAACTTTGCAGAGATGCATTGTCTATTAAGAC